GTTGCTTTTTGGATGGAGTTCTCCTTTATACACTTACAGATGCAGAAGCGTTTCAAAACTGGGATTAGATATTTCAACAACTTGTTTCAAGGCGCGTCTGAGAAATAAAGATTTAAATCCATTACATTGTGGACAAATATCCCTGATGGATTTTGGATTAAACACAGCGAGGTTTAAAAAAAAGAAGAAAAATTAGACAGCCTAATGATGGGAGACAGAAGTTTAGTTTAGACATAGGTAAGATCAGTGATTGGTTAGTACAGTACCTGAATTGGAAAAAAGTTTCTTCTGAGGAGGCTGTCAAGTTTTGTAAAATATTTAAATCATGGAGAGTTTTATTATCAAATCATTTATATGAACTTTTTTATGTACATACATTTTGGATTAATTTGTTTTGAGATTTACATTTAGGGAGTTTTTGCTATGGAATGAACACATCAATGTTACTTCATCACTTTCCAGTAATCATATTTTCAGATACTAGTCAAATTTTTTTTCTGAGACCTATTTCACAAAACCAAGGTAAGGGATTAATTCAGAATTTTCTTGATATCTTGGCTTTATTAAGCCTGGAATTGGTTTCACAAAAACAATGACGCATAAGGTATCCTTGATAATATATTCTGTGTGCTAGAGGCTCAAGGCCATACTAACAGTCAGGCTTATATTCTAGAGCAGCGGTCCCCAACCACCGGGCCATGGATCATTTGGTACGGGGCCGCACAGAAAAAAGTATATATATATATATATATATATATAGATGCACTGAAGAGTATAATTTACATTCAATGTCAATGTTATTTTTCTTTCTTTTTTGTTATTTATCAGCTTTCTGGCTTAGTTGTTTGGCTTCTGTGTTATTAATGGACACATGATAGGCTGGCTCATTAAATGCTGAATTAATCCTTGAAAACTAAACACAAAAAAACAATAAAATAATAAAAAAAAACTTGCAATCATACTTTTATTAATTATTAATGTTACGCTGTCTCCCTCTCTCCTCTTTCTTCCTGTCCGTTCCTTTTTTAAACCCAGTGCTGCTTTTTTCAGCCACGGAGGTCCTTACCACACTGCTGCTTATTTACACATTTTCTTGTTAATTTGTTTCTTTCGTAATCACTATGGCAAGTGACGTGCGCTTGGCATTTAACCCCTGGTACGAGTGAACTGCCAGTGACAGATGGCGAGACCTGATGTGATGCAGTACCTGTGGAACAAACCTTTTATTGCAATTGCAAGGTAGGGGGTGTGTCAATATATTCATGCTTTGTTTCACTTATTACAGTTAAAAAAATTAGGGCGAACATGATTATTTATTTTACTGCTGGATTTCCTTTTCTTATTTGAAAAATATAGCCAGTAAAATTTGTTCTTCTTCTTTTGGGCCCCACTCAGTCAAGGCCTTCTTCACCAGCACATTGAATATAAGTTTTTATTATTATGATTGTGTGTTCATTATTTTTCTTTATGATTTGTGAACAGACTACTGTCCAGTATGTCTCATAATTTTCAATAAAAGACCAGGAGAAAAAATAAGATATAAACATGCATTTAAAAAGCCTTATCACCTTATGGTAGATAAGGGGACATTTTGTACCATACTTTGTATTCTGATGCCTGTTTCAGAGGCATGAGCATATTTTAAAATATAAATGGCACTTATATTCTTGGTTTCCTTAATGGTAAACTTTGTTTCCCCTGAGGTTGTACTCTTGGTATCTATATTTTGCAGAAAAAGTGCAGAAAATAGGGAAAGACAATATCACCTCAAATTCTTAAGACAAGAAATAACAAGTGAAGAGTTTGCATACAGTAATAAGGGTTTATTTTTAAGTGTACAGTTAGTTCTCAATTACATTTGCCCAATTAATCATTGAACAGAAGTATTATGGTTAACAGCAGGTCTTGATTCTGAAATGAGATGAAATAGTCAAAGATTCACCATAAACT